GTGTGTGTGTGTGTTTGTGTGTTGAATAGTTGATACAATTGATGATTTGTACATAGTAGGACTTGAGTTGACTGCAGTTGAGCAAGCACAAAAGGTCATGAACTCAAGCAACCAGAGAGAAAGACAAAGAAAGAGCGAGAGAGAGAGAGTGGGAGACAGAGAGAGAGAGCAACTTGAGCTTATCTTAAGACTTGTAAATGTTCGCTTTGAAACTGCTGAGTCATTACAGATGTGAGCTGTAACCATGAGTGGGTGACAGTGGTGCCAAAGTGGGGCAGCCTTAACTCATCCACAACAACAACAACAACAACAACAACAACGATGACGTTAACACGTACATCCTGTGCTAAATATTTTCAACAGGATTTGCAGAAAAATAAAAGTGAGATGTGAGAGACGGAAGGCCAGGGGGCGTGGGGCGTGGAGCGTGGGGCGTACTACTTAGTAGACAGAGGCGAGACAGGCGAGCAACGAGCAGAATACGCATTAGCACTGCATTTAAAAAACATTTGTGGTTTTTATGCTTAATCATCATCAAGCTGACGATGCTGATGATGATGATGATGATGTTGCCAATGATCATTGTTGGGATTCCCAGCACGCTTGTATATATTAATAAAAATGCATTAGTTCACATTTATTTTGGACATAAAACGTGTCGGAGCAAGCAACAAGCGCCTCCCGTGGGGCAGTTTGACTTCGTTGAGCAGAGGCGAAAAACAAAAGCGCCGCAGATTTGCAGCGTAGTAGCACCACCGCAACCACCAAAACCGTCGTCGCCATCGCTCCACTCATTTAAAGCTTAGAGACTTTTACTTTTACAGCGAACGTTTGAAAGCAAAATAATGTACATGACAACAGACGCGGCCGACATCCCTCAGCCCTCAGCCCTCAGCCCTAAGCGCTCGGCCCACAGCGGGGACAGCGTAACTAGTGTCATGTGGGCTGGCCGCGGCACAGTGGGCCGCCCCACCACCGATGCGACGACCTGGGCACTTTCGCTCTCGCTCGCTCGTAAATTTTAGATATTCGTAGCACGTGCAAATTATGTACAATAATAAAAAAAAATAAAAATAGAAATAGAAATAAAAGCAGACAGAGATGGCGGACAGTGAAGCAGAAGCGGAGCGAAAGTGAAAGCCAGCCAGAGACTACTACGGCTGGATGGATAGCCAGCTAGATGGCTGGATAGCTCTAGATGTAGATGTAGATGTAGTACAACCTGAGCCCCAGCTGCGGGCGATACAAATCCAACCGAAAAAGGGAAAAAAGAAAAAAATAAAACAGGGTCAGGCAGACAGACAGTCGTACAACGGGGGGACAGGGTCAGGGGGCAGGGGGCGGGGGCATAGTTGCGGAACTCGTCTGGCTGTCTGACAAGTACATAAACATGTCTGCGCCTAAAAGTCTGTTGCATTTTATATGCCTAGCCCAGTCTCACCCCCCCCTGAAGGCCCCGCCCTGACAACCCGCACTGAAACTGAAACAAGAAAAAAATATTGATTTAGTCAACAAACATTTTTCAAGCAAGCGAATGTTTTGCTCTTAATAAATTTGCAGACTTATTTTTTGTTGTTGCCTTTTCGCATAGTTCTTTAACTTCGTGAGGCATACGATATTTTACTGCTCTCTCTCTCTCTGTTTCTTTGAGTATATAACGACAAGTGAGTGTGAATTTGATAGTATTTATATTATTATTATTATTATTACTAGTATTATACATGAATTTAATAGTTATAAGAAGTTGGGCTGCTCTTATCCAGATAGCTCTACTGGGAGATAATCTGAAGCCTGCAAGGAGCCGATATTTGTATTATTCTACGATTCTTTTAGGCACACATGCAGAAGAAGCGAAGGGGGCGTGGTATCTAAAATCTGTAAGTTACTAGATCTTAATATTCGCCGGGTATACACAGTAAATCTGTAGATCATCTACAAAATTTTTCAAATTTGGATTAAAAATGAAATCCATTAATCGATTATTGTCGATAAAAAGAAATAAATCTTTAATAATCTCTAATAAATAGCTAGCAAGCCCATATGGGCCGTTACGGAACGGTCGACGGAAACAACTCCGTGTCAGGTCGGGATACCGGGACATCATCTCCAAGAGCAGGACTTGTTTCGGAATGGTAGCCCCAATCATGACAATAGCTAACTTTCTATAAATTTCCTTCACCATATTATTCTGCCCCTAACTTCCATTGGTCGCTCTCTGCGGCAATAAAAATTGTAAGCTTTCCAGCTAAAGCACACTTAAATTTGCATCTTTAAGCAAAGTACTCATAATTTTGCTTTCCGTTTGCCTCTTAGGAGTCAAAAAGCTAGCTGGTATTCATTAGGAGTTTACCCACACACCAAGTGGAACGAATTGGCTCCCAGAGGTGTCGCATAATACTTAACACCCAGTGAAGTTCACGCTTATCGCTTATCATTAGCAACTTGGCAACATTCAGCATTCGGCATTCACATCCTGGGCAACCGAGAGGGAGAGGGAGAGGGAAGTGCCATAAGCTGTTGGTCTCAAATTTATAATTGTGCTCCATATTTGGTGTTTCCGTATTTACGTTACGTATTTCCGCCCCGTGTTTGTTTCACGTCTCATAACCATAACAAATTATCTCAGGTCATCAATTATGGGCGCGACACGGGCAACTCAAGAATCAGCTCCGTTTCGTACATTTTTCAGTACTTTGCTTTCTGTTCTCTTGTTTTCTTGTGTTTGCTTCGGTTTTTTGGTTGTTCGGGCAACTTTGCTGATATTTTTATTGCTTTCATTATGATTTCATGTGGCGTGAGCACGTTCTACATTCCAATTCGTGTAGGCGGGCAGTGGCTCTGCGGGCGGGGCAACCACCAACTTTTCCGTATTGAGTCAGCGCTGACGCCCATTTGTCTAGCCGCGTACTCGAGGCGCTTCACTTGGCTCTTGGGTGTTAATAATGTTATCTTTTATTTATGCCGAGTTGCTTTCTGGCTCTCGCCCTCCATTTGTTTGGCTCTAGTCCTGGTCCGGTCCCCGCCTGCCCCGCCCCCGCACTGTTTAAACTTTTTCGTTTTGAATGTAATTGCATTTTGTTTACCTTTCCACCATTGTACCTGGTACTTTTTACCAGCTTGGAAGGAGGCGAGCCCAGTTCCCCAACGAGTACAGAGTGCACAACTACAGGGCATCTTCGAGTCCATCACAATCTGACGTCGATTCATTTTGTGTGCGACCTCATGGGGGGAATTTATAAATATGTATGCTTCTCAAATTTAAAAGTGTCTCACGCCCCCTTCCACCGCTCCCCCCGCCCAGCCCAGTTGAGAAAGTTTTCGTTTTGTAATAAATAATTCAGTTGTCTTTTAATACATCAAACACATTAAACAAGTTCACTTAGAAAGTAGGCAAAATAAATAAATAGGTGCATGCTATGCGATATAAATAGAGGGGGGATGGGGGGGATGTACGGCTGCCTCGCTTAGCCTTTTAGCATTTTCGAAGCAGCTCACGTCTGGCCCGGAGCGAATCCTTTGGGCTGCGCTGCCTCAGGGGCTGTGGACGTATGAGCCGCCGCAGTTTTTGTAGCACAGGTAACTGGGGCGATAGCGCCATCTGCGGCAGTAGCGGCGATAACAGTTGTTGGGGTTGGGGGTAGGTGGATTAGGGGTGGGAGGCTGGGGTGTGGGTGGGAAGGGAGTGGGTGGGAAGGGTGTGGGGGGATAAGGCGTGGGTGGCTGCGGAGTCGGTGGCTGAGGAGTTGGCGGCTCCGGTGTGGGTGGCTCCGGAGTGGGCGGCGCCGGTGTGGGTGGCTCGGGTGTCACTGGACAATCGTTGCCCACACTGCCAATAACGCTATTCAAGGCCTGCAAATTGACCAGCGCATCCAAGTTGAGATTCAATAGGGTGACAATGGTATTCCGATTGCCCTCAACGACGTTCTCCGGTCCAGCTGCAAACAATTTCACAATGAACTCTTCGATTCAGCCCTGATCTTCGCTCATGCTACTCACTGTTCAGCTCGTTGTCGAGCTTGTTGGCGTTGCAGGCAGCGCTGCTGCCTCTGATGGAGTTCAGCAGATCAATCTTGGCCAATGCCGATGCATCCAAGTTCACCAGCTTCAAGATCGTCGTGTCGTTAGCCATCACAATTTGCTTGGGGCCCCCTGCAAAAGGCGGTAAGTGCTTAGCCATGGCTCAGCTCAAAATGCAGCCGCTACACTCACTGTTGACGGTGTTGGAAAAGTCATTGGCCACATTGGTCGCAGTCACACCGTCCTTGTCCCAGATGTTCATGAGCAGATTACCATCTCGATCCACCACCTGGACGATGTCGTCACGAGGTATATTGCCGCCAGTTACAGTGCCCACAACGGTGTTCAGCACATTGGCGCCGATTCCAGCAACCAAGTCAAGGTCCACTCCCTTGATCACCGTATTGCCACTTCCAGTAATCACGTTCTTAGGGCCCGCTGTTCAGCACGAATTCGGGAAATTACAACTGATCTGCCTTGATGTCGGCCAAGTGCACTTACTTGTGATGGTGTTGCCACCTTTGTTGGCAATGTTTTGGCCCGAGCCGCCACCCAAAAGACCTCCGACAACACCGCCCACGCCTCCAGCACCGCCAGCACCTCCAGCACCACCAGCGCCCCCTGAACCGCCTGTGACTGTACCCACAACAGAGTTGAGCAAATTGACTCCAACTCCAGCGGCAATGTCACCATCGACTCCAGTGATGAACGTGTTGCCATCGCCTCTAACCACATTTTTGGCACCCTCTGTTGATGATATAAAAAGTAGATTAGACGAGGTGGACTTTACGTTTTCGTAGAATGCACTCACTTGTGATGGTATTTCCGCCTTGGTTGGCAACGTTTCGGCCACCAGCGCCGCCAGAGGATCCGCCGGCACCGCCACCACCCAAGAGACCTCCGGTAGCACCGCCCACCAGACCGCCAGCGCCTCCACCACCACCCAAGACGCCTTTAGTGACACCACCCAAAAGTCCGCCAGTGACACCACCCAAGACGCCTTTGGTGACACCACCCAAAAGTCCGCCAGTGACACCGCCCAGAGCGCCGGTAACACCGCCCAAAAGACCACCAACACCACCAGCGGCTGGGCTACCAGCACCGGGAGAGCCTCCGGCGCCTCCAGCGCCTCCAGCACCTCCGCCTGTCACCGTGCCCACAACACTGTTGAGCACATTGGCATCAACTCCCGCTAGAACGTCGGCATCGACTGCTTTGATGATGGTATTGCCGCTGCCGGTGACAATGTTCTTAGGACCCGCTGATACATAGAGAAGGAAGTAGAGTTAGACGAAAAGATCTACACAAATAACAAAGTTCAATACTCACTTGTGATGGTATTACCACCCTTGTTGGCAATATTTTGAGCGCGTGCGGGGCTAGAGCCAGCTCCAGTGACACCGCCCAAGAGACCGCCAACACCACCAGCAGCACCACCGGCACCACCAGCACCGCCTGCTCCTCCAGAGCCGCCTGTGACCGTGCCCACAACAGAGTTGAGCAAATTGACGCCAACTCCAGCGGCAATATCACCATCGACTCCAGTGATGAACGTGTTGCCATCGCCTCTAACCACATTCTTAGGACCCTCTGTTGATGATGAAGACGGCAGATCAGTTGAGGATAAGCTCACCTTTGTGGGGCATGCACTTACTTGTGATGGTATTACCGCCCTTGTTGGCAATATTGCCAGATCTCGCCGAAGAGGCGGCTGAGAGTGGGGTCGCGGCAGCGCTGCCGCCTGTAAGGGCCTGGTTACCTGTGACCGTACCGGCCCTATTCGTCAGCACATTGGCGTCCACGGCCGCAGGCACATCCAGACCCACGAGCTGGCCAAAGAAATTGTTATTGCCACTAACGATATTTTTGGGACCAGCTGGAAAGAGAGAGAGAGAGAGAGAGAGAGGAGAGGGTTATAGGGAGTTTCCCTTGGGCGAATGGCTTGGGCACCTACAAGTTATCGTGTTGCCGCCTAGATTGGCAATATTCCGGGGGATAGAGCTTCCGGTGGAAAGTACGGATGAGACGGGGCTGCCACCGGCACCAGAGCCAGTAACTGTACCAACAGTATTGGTCAAGATGTTGGCACCCACAGCCGCAGGGATGTTGGCATCCACCAGTTGTCCAAAGAAATTGTTATCTCCGGTCACAACGTTTTTGGGACCAGCTGAAGAAGGGAAAGGATTAAGCAGGAAAAACAAAAAATTGATTCAAAAAATGCATACTTGTTATAGTGTTGCCACCCTGGTTGGCAATATTTCGAGACAGCGAGCGCCCTGAAGCAAGCACCGAGCTGACGGGGCTGGCGGCACCTCCCGCACCGGAGCCTGTCACCGTGCCGATGGTATTGGTCAAGACATTGGCATCCACAGCGGCGGGAATATTGGCATCGACAAGTTGTCCAAAGAAATTGTTATTTCCTGAGATAATATTCTTGGCACCAGCTGCAAGGATTAGACGATTATAGAAGGGGCAACTACTTAGATTGCTAGCGGGCCACACTCACTTGTAATCGAGTTGCCTCCTTGATTGGCCAACAGGCCGCCAACGACAGGCAGAGAGCCGCTGGAACGCTTGGCGGTGGGTGAGTCCTTGCCCAGGGGTACATCGGGATTGATCAGGTTCGCCGATTGCTCTGCAAAGATCGGGGACTACAATGACAGGTCGATTCTCAGCTGCTTCTAGCTTACGTATCAGCGTGTTGGAGGTGGCGGGCAGCGAGCGATCGAGGGCCGTCATGAGACCCATGATAATGACCTTTGCCACGCCCATATCCAGCAGGCGCACAATCCAACTGTCTGGCGTGGCCGCACAGAAGCCGCTCTTGTTGCCATTCGCAATAGACGTCAAGCTGTCGGTTAGGGAAATGATGAGCGTGCTAAATCCGTTGATCTGCAGCACATTCACGCTCGAGTCCTTGCTCTCGTCCTTGGGGCCCACTACAAGTTTCGGGGGGAAGGGAAAGTGCAAGTTAGAATCGATTGGACTGTCTGCCCCCCTCCCAATCGCCACTTACTCTCAACCAGATTCTGCACAATTCGCTGCGTCTCGACGCTGGAGGCGCCGCACACTTGGAGCAGGGTGCTCAATATGGCGCTCAGCTCGGAGACGCTGCGTTGCTGCAGGAAGCTGACAATCGTTTCGCGGTCGCCCTTGATGTTGTCCGCCTTGCCCGCCTGCTGGAGGGCTGTGCGCGTGCTGCGGCTGCCCAGCATGGGCAGGTCGGAGGCCTTGACTGATGTGGTGCTCTTGATGATCTGCACCACTTGCTTCTGCGAGCACTCGATGCCGTTGAAGGAGCAGAGGGCCAGGAAGGATTTCAGACTGAGCGTCAGGCTGTTCTTGTCCGTCGACCGCTTGATGTCCTTGATGACGCGATCACAGCTGCCGTTCGCACTGCTGCCAATCAGCACATCGATGATCACGTCCATGCCCACCTGCAGCAGCACAGCGCCGCCCTGCAGCTCCGTCGCCTCCATGTCGCGCAGGGCCTTGATCGTCGATTCCTGGGAGTCCGACAGCTTGATGCCGCGCGCCTGCATGCTGGCCATAAGCAGATCGGCCAGATCCTTTGCCGCCAGTCGTCCAATATTCTCAGCTCTTCTAGCCGCCGTCGCCGCCGACGACGCTGTGGTTGGAGCCGGCGTTGAGGTCGTGGTCGGCTTCGCCTCGAACGGTATGAGGAAGCCGGTTGATAGAATCAGAAACAGCTGAAGGCGCCACATTTTGCTGTCCTCGTCCACTTGCACTTGTCTTACTTGAATCTGCACAGATTTCTCAGAAGTGCGCCCAGATGATCGCAACCTGAGCGATTGATATTGATGGGCAGTGGGCGAAGCGCTTTTATGGCTATGGCCCCGGCCTCATTGCGCTGATTTTTATCAGCTGCGCTGTGAGTAAATGCGACTACTTGTCGCAGCTGCTGATAACGCCCCATCGGCCGGCAGAGCCAAAGATAATCGTGTCGTATGCGGTGTTGGCATGCAGCAAACGTGACCACAAATCGCCAAACACCATCGGCGCTGATGTTGACAACAGCGACTCGATTTCGCTTCGCTTGTCACATTCGCATTCTTCTCGCATTATTTGTCATCTGCGGTTTATCTGCCGCTGTGCTCCACAAGATATCCAAGCTCCAAGTCGTGGATGCCTAACGACTGTCTGGCCACTGCTCAAAGGTAAGATCTTGTGGCTCTATATTATGTAGATCTCGTAGAGGTAGATCTTTGGGCTGTCTTTATACATAGATATATGTAGCTTATAAGCATTAAACTTGGACTTGCCGGAGGAGTAAATGCATATATCTTTATAATCTTGTTCCTTCTTGACACAAGTTTCTGTTTGGGATGATCTCTGGTAAGACAGTCACTTATAGTCTTCTCTTCCTCTTTCAGATATATTGACATATTACTATAATGGAAATAAATGAGCCAAAATAGAACTATTATAGGTTTTCCTTTCAAGTATTCTAGTGGTTCCAATCAACGTCAATCGATTCTCTAGCAATGCAACGGCAAATCTCTTAACCCATGCTCGAGAGCAAGACACAAAGAGAGAAAGAGAGTTAGGGCAAGATAAGAAGAGAGAGCTGCGTATATCTAAAATAAAAGCTCGCTCGCACTGTAGCCATGAAATTAGACGCTGACCCAGATACTGAAGCAGAGCCGCAGAGTTAACAATTAATCTGTTGCTGCTGGTCATGCACGTGCCCAGAGCCACTGTGCGGCGTGGACCGAGTTTGGATGCTCCGATTTCCGCATAGAGATACGGAGTAGCAGAGCTAGGTATAAAATGCTTAAATCGCCAACAGTGGGCAGCCAGTTAGAAATTTGACTAACAGCCTAAGCATCCCAGCTGAATTAACCCACACAGATACCAAATGTCCGCCCCGAGCCATGATCAACGTTTCGTGCTGGTGCTGCTGATTGCCACGGCCAGCGGTGCGTGGCTCATTGCTGGCACCACGGCGCAGACGTTCACCGCAGAGGATCGCAATGCCATACAGAAGTTCATGGATGTCTTGCTGAATTTCCTCGACGCCGAGGCGGAACCATCGAATGCCACCACCACCGAGAGCCCCAATAATGCCACCACCACGGATCCGCTGGAGAGCACCACCTTGGCTAGCAATGCCACCACCCCGGACGATGGCACCGTCACAGAGTCCACCACAGCGAGTAACTCGACGAGCGCGGACCCTGAGTCGACGAGCGAGAGCACAACTCCAGCGACGAACGCCACGAGCGAATCAACCACAGCGGCGACAACCACCGCCAGCAGCAGCACCACCCAAGTCAGCGCGGCGCCAAGGCGCATGTGCTTCAAGCGTGTCTGCTACAAGTTCGTGGGCGACAGAGGATATATTTTTTAGCTAAGCGACGAATAAACTCGTTACTCGTTACCTCTATGAACCACTCGTTGTTGTCACTGAACTGAGCTCGAATTGTTTAACTGTGAGTATCTTAGGTTGCACAGTGGTTTTTTTTAAGTTTTTTTTGGCATAAACTCTAAATTTAAAGCTATTACATT